TTGAGATACCCGTGGAAAAGCTGAAAATTAACTAATTATGCAAATTAGGTGATTAATATGCACAAATATTTATCGAAAACAATCAATCTCTGCATAGTCCTTGAGTATGTAAGTACCAAGTTTCATTGAAATGTAATGCTAACTACTTATATCAAATGCTGAAAATTAATTAATTATGCAAATTAGGTAATTAATATGTACTGATATTACCATAAAAACTATCAGGTCTGTGCAGTGTCGTATGACATCTATGTACCAAGTTTCATTGAAATGTGATGATTAGTACTTGAGATATCAGTGGAAAAACCGAAAATTGACTAATCATTATGCAAATTAGGTAATTAGTATCCACGGATTATTACCAAAAACTAATCAAAACCTAGCATTAGTTCAGAGCATCTATGTACCAAGTTTCATCAAAATCTAATGAGTGGTTCTTTAGATATCAGTGGAACAGTCATAGAACAGCTAAAAATTAGCGAATTATCATGCAAATTAAGTAATTAACGAGCATGGATTTTTCCCAAAACCTAATCAAATCTGCGCATTGGCCCAGAGCATCTATGCACCAAGTTTCATCAAAAACCGATGTATGGTTCTTGAGATAGCAGTGGAACAGTCGGACACACATACACACATACACACACACATACACACATACACACATACACACATACACACATACAGACACACTAACTGCAAAGACTCCCATTTTGTGCTTCGCACATGGGAGTCAAAAAGTGTAGAAAATAAAGATTTTACAAATAAACAAGACATGACATGTCATGTCATAGCCCCCGCTCAGAAAAAAATTTAAAAACTTATATTGAACTGAGTTGGGGTCAGAGTGAATTAATTCATTATGAGCTGTATTAAAATTCTGTTATTAATTGTTCAGAATTGATGTGTTACAATTTTAGAGGGTGGGGTAAAAATATATTCATTTGGCTTTTCTGAGACAATTTATAACTTGTTAAACATATAATGCGATGTGCACTTGTAAACAATTATAACCTGTCCATGTACCTATTTTGAACAAAACTGGATGACACATATCTGAGAAAAAGCTGGTAACAGCTAGAAAAAGCTTGTTTTTTTAGATTTTTTGAGGGAAAAAATGGCCTCCAAGTCGTAAAAATTTTTCAATCAAACAGGTCATGAATGACACTGCCTTCACTTGTTGTCATTTGAAAGTTGCAACATATAATTTGTCCAGTTTTTGGCATGGATGTAAATTGGCAAACATGATTTCTATGGCATTTTCAAGTTTATAGCACTCTCCATCCTGGTCTCAGCAAGAACACCAGAGAGCAACAAACAAGTACAACAGGTACAAGCCATGCATGGCACAGTCCCTGTTAGTTATCAAATTTAAGATGTAAAGTTTTGTTTATAGTAATATAGCTGGAATATAAACATGTCAGGAATATGATGATTGTTTAAATGATTGACATTTGTATCTGATCGTCAAATGAGTATTGAGAGATATTGCTCTGGAACAGCATTAATTAAAACAAAATCAGCCATTATGAATATATGTATAATGAATATATGAAATTTGAACATAGTCAGTCAAAGCATGTCAGAGATATGGCTCTAGAAGCTCATTCATTAAAACAAAATGGCCACTAGTCAGCCATTCAGAATCCGATCTAACAAATAAAAGAAGTTTTTTAGCACAAAATAGCCACCATTAGGCCACTTTGAAAAGGATCGTCAAACCAATATATCCGTATATCTGTGACATGATGTATAATGAATATTAACAAGCAGCCTA